TGTATTCTTTAAAAACATGACACATGCTTATACAGTCGGAACCTGAGAATACAATTAATATTTCTACTTATGATGTGTACTTTAAGACTGTTTCCAGAAAGAGATTACATTAGTTAAAGACACTAAAACAAGAAATATAAAAAAAGGAAGAAGGGTTCCCAGACTGAGACATGAGAGGCGTAAATGGTATTTACTTATATTTCTTGCAGAGAGGTAAGAGCTATCCATTAGTATTCAGAGTCAGCACTGGGAAACATTAGCACTTCCACTAATCAAGAGCTTGTATTATGAATTTAATTAGAAGTCTGATGGAGCTCAGAGGTGAAGGAAGGTGACTACCATGGAATAAATTTTATCTGTTTCATCCTTAATTTGGAATAGAGATTAGTTGGCTCAGCTTTCTTCTAAGCTTATCTTTATTTTCATAATATCTGCTGGGCATTGCCAATCTTAGTCTCTTATTTTCTTAAAAATTACTGGTAGTAATGTTAGCTTTCTATGAAAGCACTGAGAGTAATTTAGGCAATTTATAACTTCCTTATATAGTACTAAAAAGGATCCAACTGACAGGCTCACATAGTCTATAACTCTGTTCAAACTAAACTGGGGATGATTTTGAGATATTCTAGATCAGACGTTCTCAAACCCCAGCCCATGGGTCGCCCGCCTAGTACATTTATCCCACCTGTTGGGTGTTTTTGCCATTGCTGTCTGTCCTGCTTAGCAGCCAACTCATCCCGGCGCCTGTAGTCTGACCCTCCAACAGTCTGAGGGACAGTGAACTGGCCCCCTGTTTAAAAAGTTTGAGGAGCCCTGTTCTAGATTGTAATTCTGTAGTTTGCAAAAAGTGCTCACTTGCATTTATTTTCAAATTTGTCTAATTTTCTAGTTCATTAAAATGTGGGAGAGTTTCAATAAAAAAAAAATGTGTGATATTCTGCTATATTTAGCTAGCCCAAACTAAACTGAATGATGGTGAAGACCTCTGTGAACTCATACAGCTATTGAGAGGTTCTTATGGCCGGTTCTGCTTCAACATTTAAAGCTTCATTAAATTTCTGAAAGTCAGTGATATGGCAGGGAAGTGCTCCGAGTCCAAGGACAGGGTGTGGAAGGCAAGTATGGCAGTAAAAAGGTGGCCATATGCAGGAAAAGGTGTCCAGAGATAATCTAAAACCTTACTTCTTTTCAAAACCAGTTCTGTGCATTATTATTTACTATTTTCCTTTAAATCCAAAACTGACATTTTTGTTTTTGGCTTCACAAGTTGGGCATCCACAGGTTCCCAAGGTTTCTGTTTGGTGTAGATATCAGTTTTCTTGTGTGGCAAGTGAAGAGTTGGAGTATCTGATTTCCATGGTCCCTTTCAGTTCTAATTATCCATAAGTTTAGGGGAGATCCCTTTTATTCTACTACACAGTCTCACCTGGGTAATAAGTAAAACTCCTTAAAGCTCCCCTGGAGACTCTAAGTTAAAATTAACTTAGAACGGAATATTTTCAATTAATTTGAGAGTACTGATTGCAAACATCCCACTAACCTTAGATTTGTAAGCATACTGAGTGATCAATTTTAAAACATATTTTAAAATATGACCTAACTTCTACTTAAAACATCCTTCCACATATATGCAAATATATGTGTGTGTATGAGTGTGTCCGTTTACCTCTCCTCTAATATACAAACTTGCAAATAAGAAGTGGAGTAAATCTCTAAAATAAATCTGCACGGCCCTTGATTAACTCACTCATTAAAATATATGTCCCATCTCAAAACTTACTTGCTCATTCTAATTTATTCTTCTTAACCAAAAATTCAGGAGGGAGAATGTGAGGAGAAGAAAAGCAAAGAAGAGCTATCTTATTTTATTCTGTCAAAAAGTATTGAGGAGATAGTTTCTTAAGAAAAAGATACTAAAACGCCAGGAACTTCCCAACTCAAGATCCTCGTGGAGGTGAGAAGAGATCTACGAGAGAAGAGACAGACGGCACCAAGGAGAGAGTGCCAGGAAACCAGGGCATTGCCTGTGTAATATTGATTACAACAAAAAACGAATGGAATAAATACATACTTTATCAGGCACTATGCTATGTCATTAAATAGCACAAAAGCTAAATAATTTGTCCTCACAGACTAGAAAGCAGCAAGGCTAGGCTTCAAAGTCACCATTCACACCCATCCCCAGGTCTAGCAATACCATCATCACAGCTAACAAAGCTGTCAATAATTACTTAATAGTATTTAATGCTGGGACCACTTAAATATGATCCCAACACTAAATGCCAATAATGCTTTTTACAGCTGTTTTTTCCACACCAGATCCAATCAAAGTCCACACACTGCCTTCAGTTCTTCAGTCTCCTGAGAGCCTGCTCTCTTAACCCCTCTCGGTGAAAACAAAATCAGCATTTAAAATAACACTTGGAAAGCCACATACTTCAATCTTATTCATAAAACATGACTGAAAGAAGTTTATAATCTCTGTGAAATACGATTGATTGGAAATTTCTGCTGAATAACTCAACTATGTTTTGTAATTAAAATCATCATAAAAATTCCAGAATAGCTTTCATTTAGAAAACCTCTGTAGCCCTTCAGTAGGCTATTAAAAGAACGCAGACCTTCAGTAGCTAGAGGACTCAAGAAGAGGAAGTACAGAACCTTGCTACTGACTGTTAGAAGAATCATCATTTATTATTTTTATGTTTTATTCTCCTTTGCTAAAGGAAAGCAGGACTGTAAGCAAGACTCTTAGAAGAACAAATAGGGAATAATTTTCTCAGATAAGTTCTAGGAAGAAAGGCTTCTTTTTCTAGGGTGTAAAAATGCCAAAATACAAAGCTTCTGGTCAGAGTTTTGATGCCTGACCTCAAGCTGGCCCTCAATCATTTTGGCAGCCCTTGTGTAAAATCCCAGGGAGATTGGGATTGCCAAGGATGGCAGGGAGAACAAGGTCAGTCTCACATCTCACATTATGTGTTTACTTCTCAAATATAATTTCAGGTCAGAATTAGTGTATGGTGAGCTTTATACCACACACTTAAGATTTTAACTTTCTCCATCGAGGTTAAATTTAAAAAAATATTTGTTTGCAAAGAGATGAGGAAATAAAAAATAATAATAATGTGTAGTGATTTGGAGTTTCCAAGTATTTTCACATCTCTTATCCAATTTATTTTTCTTACAACCCAACAAGATACGGCATTATCACTATACCTGTTTTATGGGAAACTTAAGTCCACTCGGATTGGCTTGCCTGGGATACTTGGATTTTAAGTCATCCTTCTGAATCCTAGTCTGGTACCCTACCAGGCAGCACTTTTCTGTGCACTGCAATTCTTTTCTTTTCCTTATTTAGTCAAAGTGTAATTCAATTAAAGTCATACTGGAGAAAGTAAATATAAAAACATTAAAGCTACATGAAGTTAATTTTAGAAAAAAAAATGTTAGATGATACATCAGAGTGTTCTATTGAAAAGTCCAGCTCTTGGAATCCCATCAAGTAAAAGAAAATACAAATTTAGACAAGCAGGGCTAACTCTCTTCCTTCAAAACATATTTACCAAATTATTCCTATGTAATAGAAGTGTTAGGTATATGGCTACGATGTAATGACTTTATTCTTAATTATATCATACAATGCTAGTCTTAGTTATATCTATCAGGAAGGCTCTTCATACAAATAGAAGACATTCTGAGAAAACTAAAGTAATATTCGAATTCATAAAGAGACTTAACTTCAAGGATTAAGAACATATCCTCAGATTACTGCCTGGCTTAAATTGTCCCCACAAATTATTCTGATAAACTGCTGTGCCCCACATCACTAAACATTTATAAATTAATTAATCATAGTCCTACTTAAGCACAGAAATGTAGGCAGTCAAGCTTCTATTTCCAACTTCACCATATAGTAGACAAGTACTTTTCTTACTCTACTGCTCTGTAAAATTAGAAGTAAAATGTATTTGCGGTAAAATTCAGGATTTAAAAAGTAATCCTTTCTTACTGCTAAAATCAAGTTGCTTTCATATTATACCCTTTAGATGGCTACAGTAGGAGTTATTTCTCCTCAGCTGCCATCTCTTTACTTCTTTACTACACTATTAACTATTAAAAAAAACACAGCCCCAAACGCAGAAACTAACATTATATGCCTAAATAACTTAAAATTGTTTCAGAGTTATGTCAGATATTTTGAAATAAAAGCAGGCACCTCAAGTTTAGAGATGCAAATAAAATGTGTGTTCACGTTTCTCAACGGCGAATGCCCTTTGTTTCTAACTGGAAAGCAAGATTGATGGAAAATAAAACAGTAAGAAAAAGTGTTGTGTTTGAAACACAGCATTTTACTTTGATTTGATAGAATTTCGTACATAAAAGATTCTAACTTTTATTCCTGCCCAAGCTTAGACTTAAGAGCCCCAAAATGAGAACACCAGACTTTAAGTCATTCTTCTGAATCCCAGTCTGGACTCCACGTTTTATGTCCGTTGTCACATACGCGAGCTCCGGCGCCCTAAAGTCCACCCGACGCACCCTCTCTCGGCAGCGCCTCCGCCTGGCGTTTCCCAGCCCCACACACGGGCGCTGCATCCGCACCTCCGGACGCCCACCTGCCTGCAGGTGCCCAGCGCGACCCCGACCAGCGACCCACCGAGGGGATCTGCCAGAAACCCTCCGGAAGTGACAGGGGAGATGCCCTATTGTCATCACTGCCGGGAGGGACTCCCCACCGTTACTACTGTCGCGAGCGGTGCCCACTGTCACCCCTGCCAGGAGGCAGTCCCCAATGTCATCACTGAAGAGAGGGGCGCCCACTGTCACTCGCTCTCTACGCCGTCGCCACCGGTGCTTGGTGGTCCGGGCGGGGTCTCGGTGGGGACCCTCCTGATAAGCTCACCTTCCCGCCTCTGCCCTGTCCCACCCGCTGCCCGGGGCCGTTCCGGCCTCCCGAGCACCCCTCCCAGGTCTAGAGTCCGGCTCGCCGCTCTGGTCACCTCATGAGGTAGTCCCGGAAATCCTTGCTCCGGACATAGTCTGCTGCTTTCCGCACCAGCGAGCCAGCCATGACTGTGCCGGACACCAGCTCCTCCTGCTCCCTGCCGCCGCCTCTGCTCCTCGGAGCCCAATGACAACCAGCCGACCTGGCGGCCGCTGGCAGCGCGCTGCCCTGCGGGCCCGCCTCACGACACTCGGCCACGCCTTACGGCCGCACCGCACCGCCAGCTCTCGGCCTATGAAAAGGCGCAGGACCAGAGGCGGCAGCGCAGATTGGCTGGTGTGTGCCGCACACCTCCTTCCCGCCCCTCGGCGGCGCGCGGGGGCGGGGCCTGCTGCCGTAAAATGGCCACGGGTCGGCGGGCAATGGTTGGCGGTTGCTAGGCATCTGCTGCTGCGGGCCCGCTGGAGCGTAGAGGTGACACTTCTCTGCCCCACTGTGACATGAGACAACTGTTGAGCGCCCGGCAATGTGTCTTGGGACGGTGAGGGTCTCGACAGGGGTCCCTGTGGTGGAGTTGGCTGGGTTCCCGCGGCCGCCCTCAGCGCCCGGGACTGCACCAGGGCAAGGGCACCTTGGCGGCGCCTTCGGCGCTCCTCGCGCCCACGTGGGCGGCTGCGGCCCGCGAGCTCGGCCTGGCTAGTGTTCGGGGGTACAGTTAGTACCCCAGCGGCCCCGCCCTGCCAGCGTCCCTGCTTTCCCCCGAGCACATTCCCCGGACAGATCCCACCAGCGTGGCGGGGGCTGGGGGCCGGGAACACAGGGCCGCCTTTCAAACGCGCGCGCTCGGTCCCCCTACTGTGGACTAGGAGGCAGCCACCGCCGAGACCAAAGCGCGCAAAAATAGTATGACACTTTTGTCCCAGGGAAGTGTAATTGCATACGTGTTGACATAAAGATTAAGGCCTTGCACACTTACCGGGTGTGCAAGTTGAAAGAAGGACCATTAGCATGGGACCCAGGCCCCGAGTTACAACCGCAGCACGACTTTCAGATTTTACGCCACTTAAAAGAAAACCTTTTGTTCTTCACTTTCCCAAGTTCATTCGTTTTGTTTTGTTTTTGACATAGGTAATTCCGTCATTTAAAATGTCTGTGGTGGACAGGAACTCTCCGACTTTGCTGGCCTATGTTATTGGTGGACAAATTGTATTAGCACAAAATGTATTAGCGCAAATAAGCAACAAGTCTATTTCTAGAAGTACCTTAGGATAGACAAGCAAGTTTGTAAAATTTGGTATTTACAGCATTATTTTCAATATGGAAGGATTAGAAAGCATTTACATATCCATCCATAGGGAGAGTTAGATAAATCATGGTGCATCCAATTCAATGGATTAGCAGACAGAGGTTAAGAAAGAGTAAGGCGGTTCTACAGCTATATATACTGCTGTAAAAGATCTCTAAGATTCCATTTGCAAGGAAAAATTGCAGAGAATAGTGTGTAAAGTATGCTGCTAATTTGTGTGCATAGAAAATATACAAATTTCTGTTTGCAAAAATACTGGAGAATTGTTAGCAGTAGCACCTTCTAAGGATGGCTAAGAGAATAAGGGATGGGGGAACTATTCATTGGATACCCTTTTGTTGCTTTTAAAGTTTGTACAATCAACATAGGCTATCAAATAGCGTTAAAGAAGAAAGGCCCTTAAGAATTAAAATAACAGGCCTTTGATTGAATCAGAATCATTTTCTGTTAGGTCTGTGGTCTCTATTGGTCACACCTGACTTTGATCTTCTGTGGAAGTGTGTCTCAGTACACAGTATTACGATCTCATAATAACACTAGGAAGGTTGTTCTATTCCATGGGTGCTTCCTGATGGAGTTATAGTAATAAACAAGTATAACCCGAGAAAAGGAAGGGGGTCTTGATTATTTGTAATATTGCTCATAATTACCTTTTCTTGACCACTATACGCTATTTGTACATTATTTTTCCTCATCCCAGAAGATAGGTATAGGGAAATTGAATAGTTTCTTGAATAAAAAGAAACTGCTTCTGCAAAATTGGTGGAGAAGACCTTGCATGTGAGAAGGGGCTCCTGGATCCTATAGCTGGTCAGTCTTATCTCCTAATCTTTTCCTTTTTCTCATGAGCAGTGTTTCACAACTTGAGCTGTCCAAAGAATCCTCTGCAGATTCCTAGACTCAACTCCCAAGCTTGGGAGGTCTGGAGTGGCGCCCGGAAAGCCATATGGCTACCCAAGCACTCCAGGCCTCCAATCAGTGTTCAGCATCTGGAGAAACACTACTGAGAGCGCTCATGTGCTGTCGCCACCAGTGGGCTGGTGTCAGGAGACTTTGGTTTGCACTTGGGGGCCTAAATTGGACCTTTGAGTTTTCCACCAGTTTTCTGTCCATGGAAGAGTATGAGCTAGAATATTTAAGTAGGGCTATATATTAAATAAAAAAGGAATACTTTCCTCCTAAGTAGCTAACCAGGGATTTGATGAGTTCTTTTTACTCTTAAAGTCCCACTTTCCCCACTGTTCTGTATTGCTGCAAAGAGCAGGATTTATGTTAACATGTATCTCTGTTGCTTTAAGCAGGTTATGTGGTCTAAAGCATAAGAGGACATAACAATACATAGATCCATCTACATGATTTCATACAACTTTAGAAAAACCAACCTTTCACAGTTCTTTCATATTCGGACATTGCATAGAAGATACAGATGAAAACATCACTGGCTACTTTGAATCTTAGGTTTGTGGAAGTGATTGTCAAGGCCTGGCAGTGTGCCAAAATCTCACGTGCCCATCAAAGGTCAGAACTGGCAATCATAGAATAAGCTGCACTCCTAGCTTTCCTGTTGGTCATGTCAGAAACAGGTCTTGTGCAGTTGGACTGATTTCCGGTCAGAGGTTAGAAGGTGATTTCTGGTCAAAGGTTACAAGGAAGCTGGTCTTCCCTTTCCACATACCCATTATGGGTCAGCACTGTGTAGCTTGTATATGTGTGCATTATTACAATATGTGTGTGTGTGCTTGGAGAATTGGTTGAGTCCCCTGTGAAGAGCTTTAGCATGGAGCTGCCCTTTCAGCAGACTTGTTGGGAAGAGCCACAGCCTGTCACAAAGGGAGTCTTCATCCTTTTGGAGTTCTAGAGCCTTTTTCAAAGCCAACTGCAAAACCTCAGTTTTCACCCCTGGCCCAGATATCTCTGTTCTCTGGGATGATAATCTGTATGTTATCTGAAGAGCTTTGCTTTTCTTTTAGAAAATAAGGAAAAGGGTAATCTGTTCTGTAAGTTCTATTCTGTAATCATCTCAGGGGGAAGTAGTTATCTTTGTGTTCACTGATTACAATTTTTGTCAAGAACAGAATATATGTATTACTAATTTGACTATATTTGTTACCAGACATAGAGGGTCCAGCTGCCTGTCACTGTCAGCCAATATGTAGATACAGGGATAAGTCCACCAGTCTTTATTAGCAGAAAAGTTAGTAATTCTGGAAAACAGTGAGAGTAGCTTCTCTAAGACTATTCTGTTCTTCCATTTCCAAAATCACAGTTTTATACATGAAAGTTAAAAGCAGGAACATGGCTAGACGTTGTGGCTCACGCCTGTAGTCCTAGCACTGTGGGAGGCTGAGGCAGGTAGATTGCCTGAGCTCAGAGGTTTGAGACCATCCTGAGCCAGAGTGAGACCCTGTCTCTACCAAAAAAAGCCAGGCCTTTTGGCAGGCGCCTGTAGCCCCAGCTACTTGGGAGGCAAAGGGCAAGAGAATCGCTAAAGAAAGAAAAGAAAAAAAAATTAAAAGAAAACTTCCAACTAAGATGAGTGAAAGCCAGTTGAAATTGAAAGCAAAATTCAAAACAAAACAAAACAAAAAAAGCCCAAAATCAGGAACCATGCTTACCCTTATCTTAAACAATAGTAATTAACACTTATCTTAAATAAATAACAGTAACCATCTTAATTTATGGCCCATAATAAATAATAATTGATATAACACGTGATCTACTAACATTCCAATTTGAAAGGTAATTTTTTAATTATTCTAAAACTACTTAGATATTTACCTTCAGATTAAAGTTGAACTTACAGAACAATAGGGATGACAAACATGAGGTGAAGGCTACGTAGGGTCTAAACCACAGACGGGCTGTGTCCTGTGGGCCCCCCACCCCCCGACTGACTCCATCTTATTTTCACTATATGTGCTTTTGCAATTTCTCTTGGAACAATTTTCATGTCACTAAAGACATTTGCAGTCATATGCACTTCCTGCATGGTTGTGGATTTTTTTCACAGCATTTTTATAATGGTTCATTTAATTTAAATCCACTCATTTTCTCCTAGTAGAGTTCTGTGGTGTCATAGCTTACAGCAACCTCAAACTCCTAAGCTCAAGCCATCCTCTTGCCTCAGCCTCCCAAGGAGCTGGGACTACAGGTGTCCCCCACAGCGCCTGGCTATTTTTTAGGTATGCAGTCTCGTTCTTGTTGAGGCCAGTCTTGAACTCCTAAGCTGAACCAGTGGTCTCGCCTTGGTCTTCCAGAGTGCTAGGATTACAGGCATGAGCCACTACACCCGGCCTTTTCTCCCGGTTCAATCTGCAGTACTTGTGTTAGCTTCTCCCATGGGCCCACACCCTTTCGATCACACCTCACACGGAGAATTAGCCTTAAGCACAGCACTCCCAGGCTTCTCCTTGATCCTACAGTTCCCGTCACATGATAGAAGAAAAGCTTCCCTTTGTAATAAACTGACTGTATTTTCTCATCTAATCATCAAGATAGGAAAAAAATGAAAAAAAGCAGAGCAGTCCTAAATATGAGCTGGAACACTTAATGCCCCAGATCAGTAACCGTGCTGCCTGCATTTCAGACTTCATTTGGAAATGCACTTAGAATGGTCCTTTTGTCTGTCTTGCAGGACTGTGAAGGTGCCAGTTTCCCAGGGAGTATTCAGTGTGCAGTAAAGGTGATCACAGTGTAAAGAGGATTGTTTCGTCCTGTTGCCCACTTTTCTTTCAGCCCAACACCTGCCTCTGTCAGCCCTCAGGTATGTAGGTACACATTAACTCAATTGGTTTAGTGACTTACAGAACCTATTGAAGTAAATGAATAAGCTAAGAGACTCCAGAGTTCAACAAGAACCTGTGACACCTAAATTCAAAACCAATCCGAGTGGATATTTCAGCCAAG